ATCTCTCACGGCCAGGGCCGCTCATCATCTCGCATGCTGATAACCCGTAAGATATCTCTCTCTCGCGCGCGCTCGCTCTCTCTCTTCCGCACATCACCCTCAGTCTCTTGTAGCATGGAAAAAGTCTGCTGCTCGATCATTGTCCTTGTACAGTTCCAGTCCTTGACGCCTGCCCATTTTTTTCATGCCTTTGCTCTTTGATCCACCCACATCCTTGCTTAGACATGTCACAAGCTCCAGCCGTTTGATTCGGACCATCATGCCGTGGCGCTGAGCCATCCCCATCAAGACCACAGGGTCCCCATTGGCCCGGCACAGAGCTCTAGTATCCTACCTCTCCGTCAGCATGGGCTCAGCACAGGTCGCAGCGAGTGGCATATTGCTGTGGCTTGGAATCTCCCTGGTGGCAAGCTTGCCCACCGGACCTCCAGCACCACCCAGTTCCCACTCCCTGGCACTACTCAACCCCCAGCCAAGCGCGCTGTGGTTCCCAACGGCCCTTCCTAGCAGCGACCAGATGGACCTTGAATTTAGCTTCGACGGCGAGTACGTAGCGCAGGTACAGCCCATGCCGCACTCTACCTCGCTCAGCTCACGCGTTGCGCGATTCCTGCAGCATGTGTTCGGCCACAACAGCGGCTAAGCATCGCGATGGCAATAAACTCATTCTCGTTGGGCCCATCGCCTGTACCGATCATGCCAGCACTGGTCTGTTCTTCAATCTTTTCCGTATCTTGCCACACCTTGCACGATCACATGTTATTTCGACGCGCCAAAGCGAAAAGGTATCCACAGGGCCCCTGACGCGCTTCGCGTCGTAATCGCACATACATAGGCTTGATGCGCCTGACCGTCCGCGTGGACCAGCCTGCCTCTGTACACTTGCTCATTGATGGAAAGAGCTATACCATCGGGCAATCCAAACGGCATCATCTGGTATGCGACTCCCTTCTCGAGCCAGCCTTTGAAATCGGCGGGCTGTTCTTCGCCCAAATCACATGACCAATCGGGACGACCCGCGCTACATAGACGATCCAGCGTGACAGTCTCACGTCCATTGTCTTTGCCGATGACGATGAGGATGATGCCTTCTTACAAAAAGCCTCAGGCACTGCCTTACTTGCCGCTGATCCTGACCGTCGACGCCGTCGCGGTGCGTTCACCCTGGGTCTCATCGCGAGCCACTGCCTGCCCGGCTTTGGCAGTGATCTGGCCTCGAGGCGACCGGAACCGGCCGTTTACGGTTGGCTTCGTCCAAATGTTGGGTCTCTTTTCATAATTTTGGGCATTTGCTAGATATCAACGCTGCCAAGGTCTGCACGCTACACATTGATGTTGATAAACGGTATGCAGGTCAAGCCTTGGAACCACTTCCCGCTTGTTGACTCACTTGCCTATGAATGGAAAAAAGGAAAGCCTTCCTCTCAAAGCATCATTTTTCTTTTCTACTCCTGCTCGTCTACAACTGTCGCACACTCTTTTTGTGTGTGTATATTGGGTGGGGCATTGGTTTTGCTACGTCTCCCATAAGGTTTGTGGACGCGTGGGGTGGACTCGAGGCTGCAGCAGATGTCATCGAGGATATGGTCGCTGAGCTGGAAGAAGTTTACGCGGCAAACAACGATTGGCTTCGTGTCAGCTTGCAAGCCATCACAGTACGTACAGCTGTCAAGCTGAGCCATCGTGGGCTTTGATCCACCCCCTTCTTTGACCACATCTGCGTCTGGCGTGGTAGATTCATCCCACTCTCAAGATGTACTCATCCGTTCCGTCAAGCTCCTCTATCTTGGCCGCATACCAGACCTTCTTGGCCCAGGATGTCAACGAGCACGGTGGTACGTGCCGACTTGTTCTTCGAGCAGAGTCTGAAAGCATCTGCGACCGCCGCTCTGTCTGTTCGTTTCCGTGACCAAGCTTTTGCAAGAGTCTACATTTCAACTCATCATTGAGCCCTTTCCATTAGCTCGTGGGGCTGGCGCTGGCAATTCCACGTCTGCGTGCCTCAACTTGTTGCTTACACACATCGACTTGTATGGCGTGGCGGGCGCCACCACCATTGCATCTACCAGCGAGATTCTCAGTGGTGGCATCGGCGATCATGACATTGTGTTGGTCCTGTCATGGCTCCCCTCCTTTCTCATGCTTACACGGGGCGTTTGTGTTGCAGGTCGTCACCACTCCTCAATCTCCTTGCTTGGTCCCATGCTTAGACCAGCCTTGGGTGGCAAGGCCTCGGACGTTCGGGCCTGGAATGCAATGATGGTCACCTCTCTCTCCCTGGGTCAACGCATATCATCCAGCACGTTGCTGCGTGCTGTTGCTCATGAAATCGGACACGCTGCTGGTAAAACAAGCCCGAGCGCAAGCGCCGTGGGGGGATTCCGATTTTTTTTTTGACACACAGTCGCTGTTAATTGATGCTCATTGACTGTTGCTCCCCTTACTCGGCACGTCTTGGTCGTCTTGACGGCAGGTGCCCAACACACATGTTGCCTGTCCTGTCTGACGTACTCGCAGACGTGTGCTGGTCGCAATGGCGACCAATGCAATCCCGCCGGTAAGCGTCGTTAACGACGCAGCTGCCCAACCTTGGTCTCAGCTTCAAGCTGGGCAGCTGCTACAACAACGGCGTGCCATTGATTACTGATGACTTGAATAGGCAACTATTACATGATGTATCCACAACTGACCGAGACGCCCAATAGTCTGTCGTTCAGCTCATGCTCGTTGAATTCTCTCGAGACAATTATTGAGGTTTGTAGTATTGGCAGATGGCACCTCACCTCTGAGATCTTTGTCAACGCCGACCTGCCGTGTTTCGTGTCTGGTGGCTGACGTCTTGCACGGGGTCTTTACACCATGCGAGTAGTTGCGAAAAGCTCGATTGCTCACAGCTGCCGAGGCAGCTACCCAACGTGCACCCAGCTACTGTCCTCCTTCTGTGCGCGATCACACCACTTGCGAGGGACTCTGCCAGGCGCAGAACCTCGTCATGAGGTGTGCATTTCGTGGTGATGGTGCAGTTTTTGACTCCACGCACAATCTCATTTTCGCACCTTCCCCGGTGGCCGCTCCCGGACCCATGATGCCTCTGCCAAACTCGGCAGTGGATACTACGCGTCTTGGATCCAGTGCCAGGGCGTTTGCTTTTGTCAACAAGGACAAAGCTATGGCTCGTCCACTATTGGCTGGATCGACGAGGACATCAAGGTGAGGCCTCGCGGTGACTTGGGCTTTTTCATGTTTGTTTGATCCCTTGTGATGGGATACACTGATACGGTTCAACATGCTCTATGTACACACAGAGCACCAGTAGCACCAGTAGCACCAGTAGCACCAGTAGCACCAGCACGACCAGCACGACCAGCACGACCAGCACGACCAGCACGACCAGCACGATGGAAGCGTTACAGCGGTACGTCAGAGATTTAGCTGCAAAGTGGTCATGATCAAGCCACTTTGTCTGATACTGTGTTGCATCCTGCTCAGAGCCCTGGAGTTGGCCCGGGTACAACGGTGCAGTGAATGCAAGCCCTTTCTATTGGAACAAGATTCCGGCAAAGCTATGAAAAAGGCCAAGACGAAGTTCAAATTCAAGCGCGACTGCAAAGAGGGGCATTCCTTGCAGTTTTGCGTGCAATCAAAATCCATCATCTCCAAGGTCAATGAGGCTGGAGGCTTCACGCTAGTTTTAAAGAACCAGGATAAAGATCTGGCCGGCGTGAACAAACTGATGAAGCTTGAAGTGGCTGATTCAATCCTTGAGCAAGGGGTGTGCTACACCTTGTACTTGCCCCCAATACTGGCAGCAGAGGGGCGCAAGTGGAAACTAATTATTGACAACGATAAGGACATTAAATACCGGTACTATGTTTCCCGAACCAAGATCAAAAAGGCTCGGCACTGCGATGCAGTCATTTATGGATAGAGGCTGCCCCTTTTTTTGGCAAGAGTGTTCGTACCCCATTGATCAGTCGTGGTTTAACTCCGCTCAAGCGTCTGTCTACTACTTCTCCTCGAGCCTGTCTTTTGTCGTTCGTCTTGTCAAGAGTGCAGACGATCGAAATCGAGAGAATTGACTTTTAATTCTTGTTACGTGCCTCGAGCACGATTTTTGGTGGTTGTATCAGAATGCTTGTGTTCTTAAGATTGAGATCAATTCATCTCTTTTGCATTTGCATCTTGATTTCAAAACAGTGGGCACACTCACAGCAGCTATGACGAAGGGGGAGGGTAATCATGAAACGAAAGCAGGAAGGCGGATGACATGGAACATCGCACGGAATAAAGTGGAGATGAAACGACTCAGCTTTGGGTGCAATACGTCTAGCCAGCAGGGGACATGCGGGGGCATAGACAACGATACATTGATGGAAAACTCTGGTTGCTCCAACCAAAACAAACAAAAACACAGGTTGTAGGATAAAGACGATATGATTTCGACGAGTCACACAGACACTTGGTGCTCGAGAAAAGAATGTAGGATAATCATTGCAATCTAGCTTGGCTTAGGATACCACCTGCTGCGTAGGAAGGGACCACGCCTCTGTCTTTGCCACGAGCTCTTTCATCAAAGACGCATCCTGGCAGTCTTCTGGTAGCATGTACCAGCGAACAAGAGCAGGCGTTTTCTTCTTGCGGTTGCTGTGCGTGGAGGCGGTGTCATGGACGCCCGAGTCAGCATCGTGGCCCTCCTCTTGCAGGGAGGCAGCCACTGGTTCAGAAGTGGCCATCAGGATCTCGCGACCCTGGGCAAGCAGCTGATTATAGTCTGGTTGGATGGTCGTGGAGGCAGGCGCTGAAGGCTTGCTCTCGGCGATGGGTCTGTCGAAAAGGGCCAAAAGGGATGACACCGGTTGATCACTCTGAGACTTGTGTGTCCAGATACCGCTATTCAAGTCGAAGGTATAGTGAGGAAGCAGGCGCCAGCCGTGTTGAGCCACCAGTGCCACGGCTTGAATAACGTAATCAGCTTGCTCATCTGTGAAGAAGTAGGGAAAGTTGACACGGGTCCTATCAAGGTGAAGAAAAACGAGGGATGGTGAGGCGGAGCATGGTGAGGCGCGCATTACTCGAACAAAACTGGCGGGGACAACAAGAGGTATTGTCAAGTGGTGATCAGCACACATACCAGCCCATTTTGGCACCGTCATGGCCGCCTCCCATTTCAGTTAGCACCCAGTCGAAGACCTCTTGGCTGGGCTTGAGAAGACTCAAACCGTAAGGGCCAGCACAGGAGCAGCCACCGCGGGACTGGATGCCAAAGATGTCGTTGAGTAAGGCCACGACAAAGTTGTAATGCAGCATGCGTTTGCCAAATTTGATGATGAAGGAGGTGATGGTGAGCTTGGGCAGCTTTTGTGGCCCCAATAGCACGAGCTGTTCGGGAAGGGTGCTCCAGACCTGTTGTGTCAGTGCGTGGTCAAGGCGTAGTGGCATGAGCGAGGCCAAACGGGAAAAAAAACAACATCAACACAAAAAAGGTGTTGCGGAGGATGCGTAGTGTGATGCGCAACACCGGGCAGGGTTGGGGGAAACGAACCTTCCAGGCCCGCTCAAGGAGTTCATGTTCGCGGGCAACGATAAAATCTTCACCCACGCGGTGCTTGAGTTCAAACACGAGACCACAACGAACGGCCCCCACAATGTCTGGGGTGCCGCCTTCTTCGCGGTGTTCGATCTCGCGTGTGTACTAAGGGTTCGACCAGTGTTCCAAGTGGATGAGGCGGCGAGGGAGACGGGCAGGTAGAGTAGGTATGACAAACGCATGGGTAGCAGAGGGGTGGTAAGGTCGGGAAGAGTAGCCTACCAAGTGGGCGTCGGCACTGACAAAGCGGACGGTACCACCACCGGGAACGACGGGCACAGCGTTGCGGCACACGTCGCGGCGCACAAGGAGAAGACCCGGGGTACCCGGCCCGCCGATGAATTTGTGCGGGCTGATGTAGACGGCATCAAGATAGCCTTCGTTGCCATAGGCCTTGGAGCCGAGGGCGATGGGAACGTAGGGGGCGGCAGCAGCATAGTCAAAGCAGGCAAGTGCGCCATAGCGATGGAGGAGGCGGGCCAGTTCCGGAACCGGGGAGAGGAGGCCGGTCACGTTGGAGCCAGCGCTGAAAGAGCCAATCAGCAATGGGCGTTTGCGATACTTTTTGAGAAGTTTCTCAAGATGCTTGAGGCAGACGTGCTCGTCCGTGCCGCAGCGTACGCGGACCAGATCCACGGGGGCTTCGCGCCAGGGCAGGTCGTTGCTGTGATGTTCGTACTCTGAGATGAAGACGACGGCGCGACGGCGACGAGGGGGCATGGGGTGTTTGTTCTTTGGTGCCGCGGGTTTCGTGCGGCGAGATTTGCGTTTGTCTTCGGGTTCGAGATCTGTTTCGACCACCTCTGCTTTGTCGAGTTTGGCAAGCGTGTTTCGGGCCTTTGGGGCGCGAACGCCGGCATGGCCCGTGGGCAGGGGCATGACGTCGAGGAGACCCATAAACTTGTAGATGGCTGAGGTAGAGCCCGAGCCGGTGAAGATGACGGCGTGTTCATGGGTGTTGCCGCCGCAGGCGGATAGAACCATGTTGCGGGCTTCTTCACGGGCATGTGATGTCTGGCGCCCGGTGGCACTGGCATCCGTATGGGTGTTGGCGTACATGGGGAGGACGCGTTGCTGAATAAAGTTTTCAATCATGCCCAGGGAGCGACCCGAGGCGGTGTAGTCGGCGTAGATCAGGGGCTTGGAGCCAAAGGGACCTGGCCAATTCATTTTCAACACGCAAGGTGAGCAACGGGAAGGTGGTCTGGCTGCCACACTGCAGGGCCGCGTGGCAGGGTGAGGCAGGGTTAGGGGTTGATTGGCACTGGTGCGACGTACCGTCGAGAGGCATGCAGTCACCAATGACATTGCTGCGAATTTGTTCGAGAAGCTTAAGCTGGTCGGGCCGCAGGGACGCTTCAGCTCGTTCATGTTCGGCGTGGTCTGTTGCCGGGGTGGCCATGTCGTCGGTCAAAAGAGAAGAGCAAACAGGCCCCGAAAGAGAATCTCAAGCCGGTGACGGACGGCAGTCAAGCACGATGGGGAAGGCCGAGCAAGCGGGAGGTATTTGGCGAAGAAGAAGAAGAAGAAGGCGGTGTGTGTGTGTGTGTGTGTGTGAAGGAGCGAACAATCGAGAAAATGGGTCAGGGCGAGCCGCGCACTGGTGAAGGGGGCGAGGTGGTGGTGGATGTTGATGTGGCGGACAAGGCGGAAAGACCAGCAGAGAGCGCCAGAATGCTGCGCCGCGCAGTCGTGGGATTGGCACAATCAAAGCGTTCGGTGGCGCAGGGTCAACAGCAACAGCAACAAGAAGCAGAAGAAAAAGTGTCAGCAGAGAGAGAGAATCTCCCCTTTTTGTATGGGGTGACACTCAATTTGGGTGACGACAATAAGGTTGCAGCCTTTAGAAGGATGGCTCGAGCCTTGGGATGGGTAGCGAAACTACCGAATACGTGGATAGGTATGTACCTAGTCAAGACATTTCTGCTCATTGCCATGGATGTGTTTCAGAAAGCTGGGGTTGCAGTAACATCGCTTTCTGCGTCTGTGTCGCTTTCTTCGTCTTCTTCCACCCCGAGCGCACCAGCGGTTTTCCCTTGTACAACCCCGTTCTGCTTCCAGTTGTTCAACTTGTCCTGCATCTTGTCATCACCAGACACCCATTCGCAACCAAGTCTCACAAGCCACGCCTGTAGTTCGGTGCCGTGGGGCGCCGCTATGTGGGAAAGGCATTGCATGGACAGCTCTCACGCCACCACCTTCTTTTTCTGATGAAAGGCTTGTCCACAACCAAACGTGCGCTCGTGCTGCAAAATCATCAAAATGGGTGATGATTGCGCCATCCATGCCCACCCTTTCTTCGATTACAACATACCCTTCAAACTCCTCATTTGGCGAAAGAAGTGACCATGAACTACATAATGGAACACTCACTGCGTTCGTCTACATGTTCCGGTGAGGGGAGATTGTCAGCATTTTATGGCCACAAGAATGGCGGCGGCGACAGCTGCTGTTGCTGCTGCTCTGAGGCGCATCCCGACTCGGGGGTGGCGGTCGAGTCGCCATGGTGTATGTATAGGCATGTGGTGGCGTCAGGCGCACCAAATGTGTCGAATTGATGCGTTATGCGTTGCTCCACCTCGAATTGGGCATGGACGGCGACACCGCAGCACCGCCGCCGAGGCTGCCGCCAGCTTGTGGACGTCCGACGACATGGTCAGCGAACCCGCCCATTCCAAGTGGGTGGCCGTCAAGGCCAACATTGCCACCCGCGAAGGCCCCACAAACTGTGGCAGTGCCTTTTTGGCTGACTATACTAGCCCCTTCGATGCCACCGTAGTCGACCGCCTCAAGCAGGTCTGCCTTGGGCCCCCAAATACACTTTGTAGTGCCCTGGCCCTTTCCAGCTTACCTGCCCGCACTGCGTTCCCCCTTCCTCTCGAACCTCTGCACGCGGCGCTCAGCATGGCTATCGGATTGGCCTCAAGACCAACATGGATGAATTCGGCATGGGATCTTTTGGCTTGCACAGTGCCTTTGGGTCTGTTACCAATCCGGCCCTCGATGCTACCGCGCAGGTGGGTCAACTTGTTGCTGAACCCTCAGAATGGCCCTCTTCCGCTCCCCAATCTCAGTCCGTGGTCAGCATCCATTTCACACCAACTCGCTTGTTGCCGCGCCAATGCACTAACAACACGGCCGGCCACAGCCACGCGTTGCCGGTGGTTCCTCCTCGGGGAGTGCCGCGGTCGTAGCGGCCGGGCAGGTTCCGTTGGCCCTCGGCTCGGATACGGGTGCGTGCCAATAACACCGCCATCAATCGCCATGCATGCATCTCAGCTCCACTCGCCTCTCATTCCGTTCAATTCTTGCTCATTTGGCTCCTCGATTGGACCTTCCCAAGCGCAGGTGGATCTGTGCGCGTGCCTGCAGCCTTTTGTGGCATCGTTGGGTACAAGCCTTCCTACGGCCGCCTCTCTCGCTGGGGGCTTGTCAGTTATGCCAGGTAGAGATACCAGCGTTTCACGCACCTGGATCCACACCCTCGCCCCACCTGATCTCGTCTCATTCTCTCCTGATCTCACTCCACCCGGAAAAAAACCACTCAACAACAACACCAACAACGACAACAATATCAATAACAATAACAACACCCTAACCCTGATCTCGCCGTAGCTCCTTTGACTGCGTCGGTGTCCTGGCTTCCTCCGTCGATCAAGCCGAAGCAGCTATGCAAGTCATGCAAGGACACGACTCACGTGATGAAACCTCGCTTAATGTACATGTCATGCCCACCCGCCTCCGCCAGCCGCCTTTCATCCTACCGCTTATGTCTACCAAGCGTGCCAGCCCACCTGACGCTCCGTCAATGTGGTGCTTCAGGTCGACTGGGCAGCGCAGGAGGCGCAGGATACACCTGTACGGCGTGTAGGTGTCATTCAGGAGGCCGTCATTCATGAGCTCGCCCCGGCAATGCATGACCGATGGGAGCTCGCCCTTCAACAGCTCGCCCAGCAACACTGCCTGGAGATTGATACCGTGTCGGTGCCCACTTTGAAACAAGGTGCCATGTTTCGCCTCACTCGCCCAAGCCTTTGCTGCCAAGAGTGCCTGGCACGAGCGTCAAACTCAGCTGCTAGTCTTGGACACACCCCACAGCATTGGCCGCATACTACATGCTTGTCTCGGCAGAAGCCGCATCGAACCTCTCACGCTACAACGGTCTCTGCTACGGTCCGTGTTGGCGTCGCGCATCCTCTGACCCCAAAGCAGCCTCATTTCGCTATTTTCGACTCATGTGCCTTACACATCATGCTTCAGGTGCGCAAAGTGGGGCTCCCGAGACCTTTGATGGCTTCTTCGACATGTATTCAAGCAATCGGACTCAATACTTGGGCGACAGCGTCAAACAGCGCATCATGACCGGGAACCATATCCTCTCTCGCGGGTGTGCAGCTCGGGTCGTCCCAACTAGTGATTCCCCTCTTCTCCGTCACAGGCCCTGGCCACGAACCTATTTGAGCCTCACAGGTCGACTATTTTGCTTTGACCCTGTCTCCACTTGAATCAGAAAATTTGACAGCTACTATCTTACTGCTGCCCGAGTTCGTGCCCAGCTAACCCTTGAGCTGCAGCGAGTTTTTGAGGTAGGTTGGTTTGCCATCCAATCAGGGCATGCATGACACGCCTTGTCATTTGCCGCGGCCCTCTCCAAATTGGCCCTTTCCAAATTGGCCCTTGCTCCCTGGTGCTTGCGCCCGTTCTCAATTAATGCCTGTTCGGCGGATAGCGGGTCGATGTGCTGGTTTTGCCCACGACCGCCGACGTGGCACCCACCATCGAAGCGGCGCGTAACATTGAGCCCGTACAAGAATATGCCACAGATGTCTACACCGTACCCTTCAGTTTAGCTGGCCTACCAGCCATCAGCGTTCCTTGCGGTCGAGATCCTCAATCGTCTGCCCCAATGGGCTTACAAGTCGTGGCTCCGGTAGGTGTATGCTCTTTTGGCTCCTTTGAGCCACCTCTCATTCTTTTTGTTTCTCAATCTTGCCACCTCACACACGCCGGTGTTTCCCTTTTCCCATATGCACAATAATAGCGCCAGTTAGATCACCGCGCTGCTCACGTGGCTCGCTTGCTCGAGGCCATGAGTTGGCCTAATTAAAAACTCAACCCTTTAGGTGGTAAAATTGTATCGAGAACTCCCTGCTCTCGTGTCATCCTCTTGCTTGCACATCCTCAAACACATTGGCACACCCAGACCAGATCGGACCACAGGTTGCCAGGCTCCTCTGAAAAGAAGCTGGTAGGACTACTGGAAATGGCAGACGCAGATTGATTGCTTTTGCATGAACCATGCCGATTTTTGACATGTGGTTACATAGGATGACTCGAAAAATAAATAAGCAACACATTCACAGTCTCATGCACACGCACGCACAGAGAGTGAGTGAGTGAGAGAGAGAGGAAAATCACAAAATCCGATACACCTCACAAAGGAAGCTGGTCAGCCCGTCTGTGCTGTCCTTGGCCACATCAAGCCGTGGATGAGGAAGGCTCAGGATCGAAGGCGCTTGGGTATATTCTGTTACTGCCACGTGGCGAGAGCAGAAGATTGCGCGACCGCGTGCTCGCCTCTGATGCTCGGCGGGGCGCCTCCGGGTCTACAGACGTGATGCGTGGTGAAAGCTGTCCATCTTCCACTTCCATCCACACGCTGTGGCCTGACGCGCGCGACTGCGGAATTCGATCCAGTGTGGCAAACGGCGTCACCGCGCGCTTGCTTCTCATCGGCATTACATAATCATACTCAGCAATGGGCCCTGGCGCTTCATCAACCCCACTGCCGTGAGTATTATCATAGTGGACACGATTCCACACGAGTTTTGGTGACCCTGGATCGGGTTGGAGATCCGAGGGGTCGGGCGGCAGCTCGTCATCTGACGTCAAAGCTTCCACCGTGTCTTTCCAAGACTCTTCATTTCGGAGCTCCCAGGCCCTGCATTATTCCGGTGCGAGCCAACGTCACATGGTGAGCACCCATACAGAGCCTTAACACGAACCCGCAAAGCGCGCAAGTCCTCACTTTTCGCGTGCACGAAACTTTTTGAATAGTCGCTTGAAAGAGGCGACAGCAGCAAGGAGCGCCACGCCTGCATGAAGAGATCCAATGATAATCCATGCCTAGGATGCCCAACACGACGATGGCGCTTGGTGAGCTGCAATCACGACCAGCTGCATCATGCCTCCTCCATTCACTTCTCTCTCGCATGCATTCGCCAAACCTTCAGAACCTACCAAAATGGCGCCGTGCAAGTCTCGATACGCCGTCCGACTCTCGCCACTGAAACAAAGGGCGGGGTCGCGGCGGTACAAACTTGCCTAGAAGACATGGCAATCCCCGCAAATGTGAGCTTAGGCAGCGCAGGTTGACGCAAGACCACCGCGCAATACGCTTCGTGCAAATTGCACATACTTGCGCAGCCACCATGACGAGGCAAATCAAGAGGCCGGAGAAAAACCAAAAGTGCTGGCGGTCACGAGCCACCAGATCCCAAAGAAAAGCCATGTAAAGAAGCACAGCCCCCGCGGCCAGAAACGCGCCAAAGCAGCACACCATGGCAGCGACGCGCCGTGCATCTGCATTGTCTGTTGGACAGCATTCAAACGAAGTGACACTAGAGGACGCACCCGATCAAATGAGAACCGAGTCGAACAGAGGTGGTTACGGTCGCAACTGTGGTAAGGCGACAAACCTTTTGTCAAAGCACGAAGCGCAGCTGTTGCCTCGGCACCCTACACAAGTTGATGATCGGTCGTGGCTGTGAGGCAGCGCTGGAACATGGGTCATACATAAAGTGGACAGCAGCAGCCCAACATGCATGGCCTCGCTTACTCTCGTTGACAGAATAACAAGCTGCAGCCAACACTAACCTCGACAACAAGGTCGGCCACAGGCGGCGGAGGTATAGGGGGGATACAGGCCGTGTGTGGCATCACACAGGTCCGACGAGTCATCGTAGCCGCTGCGAATCACCGGCAGCTGGCAGCCCACGGACAAAGCTGGATCGGCTGCAAGCTCACTACACCACGTCACATTCAACGCACTCAAGCAAGCGCCCTCTACCAGCGACCCTGAGCAGCCAGTGTCTATGCGCTGGAGTTGCCCCATATCAGCAACGGGATAGAGCCAGAAAATGTGGCCTGCATCCGATAATTCAAACTCGGCATGGCTAGACGCGTTAACAAAAGCGTAGGTGCGCGCCTGGCCATCGCTGTGGATGGCGCGCTGCAGCGTAGTGGTGTACAGCATGGCGGCCAGGTCCATGCCCAGCAGAACGACGAGCAGACCCACGGCCAAATGAATCCAACGTCGGCCCTCTTGCGGCACCGAGTGTAAGGCGCGGCGGTGCCCAACCAGGGTCGCCGCAAAGCCAGCGAGCAGAATGACACATATCACCAGGACCACAATCAAGGTCACCACGATTTGCTGCAAGGAGGCGTTGCCTTGCGAACCACCAGGGCAGGTGCTCGTCTCTGCATTGGGGTCGAAGCAAGAGCCTGCACTGGCTTGGGCATCGGGGGCTTCAGTGCTCATCAACTCTGTGGTTGTTGTTGACGTTGTGGTGGTTGTAGTCGTAGTAGTGGAAGTAGTCAGAATGAGAATTTCTTGGTTGGTGGCGAGGCTTGCTACCTGCTGTGCGTTCAGAACAAAATCGTACAGGCGCACCTTGTCCAGAAGGCCCGCGTAAGCCTGAATGGAGGTCGTGGTCCTTCCTCCGATCACAAAGGCTGCCGTCAAAGGTGGCTGAGTGCTGCCGATGGAGGCTTGTTGTGCCAGCGTCCCATTGACGTAGATGCGCGCCCAGCCAGCGCTGAAAGTAAGAGCAACATGAGACCACTGACCCGACCGGGCCTGACTGGCCAGACCGGTTGTGATCGGGGTGGCAGCATTGACATCGCCATTGGCCACGTAGAGCTGAAATCGTTCTTGGGCGAGACGGATTTCTAAAGCGCCTCCACTTGGTGATGCACCATCCCCGCCCATGTCATACAGAAATAGTGACTGTAAGCGCGTCGCATTGTCGGGACGACACCAGAAGGAGACGGACAGGCTGGCAGGCAGGCGGGGTGGGAAGGGAAACTTGAGGGCTCGAGCCGCCGCATTGATGCGCATGGCAGACAAGGTCGGCCCGTTGCCAGTATTTGTAGCCCATGCAGCATTCTGCTGTACGGCATGTGCGCCATTGGCTCCGTTGTCCAGGAACAAGTTGCCACACATGTGCTCGCCCCACTCGTGGCGAGGGGCGAGGATGTGAAAGGCAGCCGTAGATGGTGCCGTCACGATGGTTGATCCCGTCCAGTTACACGAGCGCACCGAGCGGGTGGGGTCTTGAGGGGCGTCGGCAGCAATGGCTTGAATGCGACTCTGGTCTAGGGCGCTTGCGTAGAGGCGCACGTCATGCACGTGTGCTTCCAGCACAGACTGGGGCACGCGGGCGCCAGGTAGTTTGACCTCGGCACCGACGAAGACGCTCCAATTTTCGCTGGCGGGAAACGACCATGTCTCTGCCAAAGCCCACGACCCCAGAAAACTGCCATTGGCATACAAGTGGGCTGTGCCCGGCTCGAGGACGAAGGCCAAGTGAAGCCAAGTACGAAGGGTCGGTGGAAAAGCAATCCCAGATTGGGCGTCAGTGGTGTTGAGCAGGGTTGTGCCCATCCACAGTTGCAGGGTAGCAGCTCGTCGACGCAACTCAAAACGAGCGTCAGTGCTACCAATAGAGGCCAGCAGCGGCAGCGCAGCAGGCGCCGAGAAAGCCGACCCATTGCTGGCCACGCGGTTGCCCAGCCACTCGGCAGCGGGGGAGGTCGGAAACCACAAGCGAAGGGACAGCGTGACGGTCGTGGTGGCCTCATAAGCGGGTGCAGCCAGGATGGCGTGAAGTACCCACCCACTCTCGCTCAGGGCAGGGAGAAGGTGTGGCAATCTGGGGTCTACGGCAGACCGTGCCCCTGAGGATGGTCCACCCACGAGCAGAGCATGTCGTTGTTGTCCGCTCCAATCCCGCACGAGGTGGGCCGCAGCGGCCTCATCGCGGTGTGTCGGGGGCCACCACCAAGCGATCAAACCGGCTTGGGTGTTGGCCAGGCGATGGGCCGCCGCAACCGTCGCTGTCGGCTCATTGTACGGCGGTTTGAGTAAATCGGGGTGCGGGGCGACTGTGAGCACGATTGACTGATCGGCCAGCGTTGGACTGAGGGTGGGCGGTGAGGTCGGAGGTGGGGGCACGGGGTGGGTCGCCGCCAAGTCTATGCTGGGCAATGAGAGGGCACCGCGAAAGCGGGACGTGGGTTGAGCAACCTGCCAAGCACAGCCCAGACTGAGGTGGGAGTAGTCTGGGCTGCGCCCAGGTAGGTCGAGGGTCAGAGCAGCCACGGTTCCAATTGAGGCATTCCACACGTGGGCTTTACGCTCCAGGCGAAAGTGGTACCAGGTCCAAGGCTCAAGAGAGCATGGTGCGGAAGCGTTCCAATCATAGAGGCCATATTGTAGCTGGAAATGCAGCTGTCCTGCGCTGAGGCTGTAGCGAGCTTGGCCGAGCTTGTTGGAGAGTGCCAACAAGGTGCCAGCATTGTGTGCCTCGTCGTTGCTGCTCACTTGGAGCCAAAATTCAAATCGCTCATGGGAAAGAGGGGTAACCTGGCCGGTGGGCAGCTTGCTCCACAGGCACGTGTCATTGGCCAAAAGCTGCACGGCACTGTGGTTGTTGGCGGTACGCAGCTGGCAAGCGCCCGTGCAGGTCCACGCCAGTCCATTGGTTGCAGCATGGCTGACGTTGATTGGAATGCTCGCACGCACGAGCGCTGTCCCGTCTGTGCTGTTGGCGGTGGAATCTGCTGCGATGGCCCCCCTGGCGACCAAAATTAAGACCAGGATCGGTATCAGCAAGCTCCAGCCTTGAGCGGCGAGGGCGGACACAGCAGGCGGACACATGGTGCAGCGTTCAGGACGTAAGGCTAGCGAGCGGGTCGTTCTCTCGGCGAGGGTCCTACACCAAGGAGGGGTTCTGCTGGGCCCTGCTTTTAGCTCGTTGAGTCCAACATGGTCCAGGCGGGGCAAGAACTGTCCGACTCATCAAGTGCGTGAGATGAGGAGGGATGTGGCACTCGGCGACGACGAAAACGCTGGCACGAGGCCGGCGCCCAAAAGTCAAGTCGAGATCGTCGCACAAGCACGGGCCACGCCCTGGCAAATCCACCCATACACCCAAGATCTATCGTCAACCTCAACCGTTCCCAGGGATCCTGGACCTGTCCGTACCCCAACCCCGCTGCCAAAAACACATTTACACGCTTCAACATCAAAAATTCAGAAAAAAAAATCAAAATTTTGAGTAAAATGCGTGTGTGTGTGTGTGTGTGTGTGTGTGTGTAAACAGGTTTATGTTCGAAGCAAACATCAGCTGAAGCTTAAGAAACAACTGTGCTAAACAGCAGTTGTCTAGCAACGCCTTGGTTGTTGGTCAATTCCCTTGTTGAAGTTGTCTGAGGTTGACTGGGCTCGAGTTGTGGCTGAGACGGAGCGGGCGGCTGGGTGAGACGACAGACAAGCCGTGCGATCCTGGTTCGTCAACGGCTTGTAGGTTGCTTTGGTGTTTTTGATCTGGGCCGGGGTGCAGCTTACACACACGGCAGACGCAGGCTCAGAGGGAGACGATTAAGAGGCAAGACAAGACAAGGCCAGGCCGGCATTGGCACGACTTGGATATGGCGCAGCCAGCGGACGAGCCATCTGCAATGGCGCATGGCGCAGATCAAGCCGTGTCACCACAGCCAACACCACCTGATCAGAATCAGCATGCACCTGATGTCATGGTAATTGGGGACGAGCCGGCAGATGTAACAGCCGAGACGGCTCCCACGCAGGTGTTCCTGCGGCGCGCCGAGTTGGCAGACAGTACCCGGCTTGCTCGGCTCGTGGATACTACGACGGCTGAGGTGTTTGATACGGGCAACATTGTGGCCATTCTGTACGTCCTTGGTGTTCATTGACTCTCTTTCCCATCTTGCAGCAGGCGCCCAGGGTTGCCCTTCCTGCTGTCTTTCAACATGCACGGCCATTCTTTGCCAATTTGCCTTAATCATCCTTTGATGTTCTGACTTTCAGGGAGCATGCGTTGTTGAGCATCACTGCCGTTGACTCGGCGGGCAACGTGCTAGGCAATGCTAGCTTTTACGACTACCCTCGTCGCGAGAGTGTTGCTTCGAGCACGTGCGTTGGCGTTGTCGCCCCCCCCTAGCCAGTCCTACTCGGCGTTCCACCTCTCACAGCCTGGCTCATGGTTTTGGCGGGACAAGCAGGTGGGAAGCTTGGGCAGAGGCACATTGGCAGGGAAAACTGAGTCCCAACAACACCCTCTTCCTTCGCTTCTTCACAGCTCCCTCAAACTTGGCTGCCAACATCATGGAGCAGTGCATGCGCACCATGTTCTCCTCCGCCACCCACGTCAAGCAATGCGTGCTCAATGTCCCTGAGGGCGCTTCTGCTGCCCGCGCTTGGCACCTTCATCCATGCTACGGCATGTTTACGCCAATGCAGACCCCCAGTGGGAACCAGGTGAAGCCCTGTGCCATCCTCAGCGACCAAACTAACTGTCCTGGTCTCTGCCCAACACTCGACAATTCGTGTACGCCCCCCTGCTCATGCTCTTAAACTTTTTTTTTTTTTTGCAGGACGAGCTGGCTTTTGTCCTTCCACAACACAAGGTCATCGCCCCTTGTCGAGTGCGCATGGCTGTGGAAGAGGACTTTGACGACCTCATGCCCCTCTTTGAGCGTCAAAGCACTGACATCGAACAGCGTTTTGGCAGTTTTTATCTGGCGCAGCTGATTGCTAAGCAGGATGATCGCAGCCGATGCTTCGCCCTTGAGGTGTGCTGCGCTCTTCTGAACGAAAACAGAAGACTCACACCAAACCCAGTAGCAGAATCAACGCTTTGCTCGGTTGCTCATATCTGCTGTCCCTGCACGCGTGTGGTCCGTGCAGGTCAATGGTACGGCAGTTGGGTTTATCCATGCTACCAATCGGTTTCAGGGCGATTATCTGCGCGCACACTACGATCTCGCTGCTTTTGACGATCTTCGTGGCAAAGCCGGCACAGCGGATGATGCCACCTGTGTCCTTTCCATCAGCCTATACGTGGTTGCCGAGGCGTACGAGGTGCACGCTTTTGAGTTCTTGCCACATATTTTTGATGCCTTTCCAGACGCTTGGTACATTGTGCTCTCCCTGCCGCCCACTGCGCCCGAATTTCCATTCCTTCAGGTAAGCGGCCAAACCACAACCATCGCCAGAGACGACGGGGCTTCGCATTTGCACCACCTGTTCCAGACGCCCGATTGTTTGTTTGACTGCGAATTCACACGTGGTACCGCGCCCTGCCATTTTCGATGACGGGTAGTACTTTACACACGTGGAAACCTTGCCCGGGAACTATCCCACGCAAGAGGTCTATATCCTGCACAAGTACGCCATTTCCAACACGTTGACCGTGGAGCCCCTGACGACGGAGCAACTGGATCGTGTTCACGATATTGTCCAAGGGACGGCGCAAGAGGAGCTGATTATGGCTGACGTGACCCGTGCCACGATGACGGGTGAAGATGCCGATGGGACCAAGATTTTTTGCCATTCCGTCCGCTGTCTGGGCCAGTTGTGTGGTGTCATCGTTTCGCGCGATGGGCGGGCCGACGCACTTCCGTTGCGTGCGTGGTACGACTTGGATGAGTACATCCTATTCTCGCAACACATCTCGCGCGAGCACCTCATCCTCAGTCACATGGTGCTCAACCCCATCTTTCACCGCCATGGCAAACGCATCCTTGGGGAGCTCCTGCGTAAGCTGCGGCGCTCCTGCGTGTACCAGCGCACCTACGGTGAGGGCATTGATTTTGATCAGGACAACGTCAAGCCCACCACTATGAATCCCATCCTGGACCAGCTGGTGCCCGTGCGACCAAGACGCCAATGCCAGTACGCAATGGACATTTTGCAGGGCAATGTGCCGTCGCCACGCATCCGCGACGTGGGCCCTCCCTTTGCCCTGGCTTTTATGACGCGCAAGCTGCTGCTGGAACCCAAGCTCACGGTGAATCATCGTATTGTGGTGGTGGGCGAGTCCGACACGGCTTTGGCCTGCCTCGAGGACCTTGTGTTTCGGTAAGTGCTCTCCTTGAACGGCGCGCTTGACGGGTATGCCACACGCAACAGTGGGTATGCATGATGCTGTTTACATCATCTCATTATGATGCCACTGGGGTTGCCACGGTTTTGGGCTGGCGAGCTAGATCGCATCTCCGCTTGAGCAATCTGATTCATGTCGTGGAGGCGCCCGTACACGGGTATTCCTCAGACGCTCCTGCGAGCCAGGCCTACCCACATGGCTACACCTATTCACACGAGCATCTCCAGCGGCTTGGACTCGATCTATGGGTGGACAGTGTGGCGGGCCGCATGAGTCAGATTGACCGAAAGGGCCAATTCATTGTACTGGACAACGGCGGCGAGGTCCCTTACGACGTTCTTGGCCTGGCACCTGATCTGGAGCCTCAAGTTGCAGAAGCAGATAGCGCCCCAGATGGTGTGCATGCCCTTCGAAATAACTTTCACGCGCAACAGGTTCTACCCGGGCTCATCGCGGCCTGGCAGCAAGGCCAGAGCGATGTCGAGGGCGAGGACGCAGAGCAGAAACGCAACCAGTCAAATGACGCCCCAGCCAAGAGTGTAGTGATTTATGGTGCGGGATTGAGCGTCTTGACCATGGCCACGGCCGTTTTGCAATTGGGGGTACCGGCTTCCCATCTGCAGCTGGTGTTGGAAGCCCCTTTGGAGACCGACGTTCGCCCCGAGCAGGCCCAAGCCATGATGTCACATTGGGCTGAGCGCCTTCAGGTCAAGGTGGTGCAGGCCACTGTCATGGGCTATGAACAACAGGTACGGATGGTAGAGTTAGAGCGGCATGCAGTAGGCGACCGATTGTCGGCATGGGACGTGGGGACGTGGGGGGGGGGCCTGTTAGGGTGGGACATACTAGTTGGCTTTCTCACGACTGTGTGTGGTGCTCGTTCTTCTCCACTCTTCTTCCTCTCTGCGGGTTAGGATGGCTTTGTGTCTGCCGTGCGCTGTCGTGCAGAGGGCCAGGAAGACGCCACGGCCGTTCCGGCCTCTCTATGCTTGTGTGCCCGTAAAGGCACGGTTTCTCCAAATTTCTTTCGCGTTGTCAATGACTGCTTCTTGGTGTTTGATGGCCTGCTCGTGGTCAACCACGCGGCACGCACCTCGGACGCACAAATCTTAGCGGGCGGAACATGCACCAAATACTCGCGCCGATATCAGACAGAGAAGCAGGAGGGCCACTGTAGCGATGCCGAGGTTGGGCGGCACCTTGCTATGCAGCTGCGCTGCCTTTTTGATCCGCTGCTCATGTCGGATGCCGAGGAAGATACGACAACCACCACACTTCCCACGTATGGGCCCATACTGCTGTGCAAGCCTTGGCGGGTTTCTTTCCTCCATGCCACCTGCATTTTCTATGTTCCACCTCTCTCACGCCTAGACGCATGCTTCTGCGGTCTTGTTGCCAGGTACAAGGAAGCGCGATTGCGCGCTGGTCAAGTGGCCCCTAAGCTCTCGTATCTACAAGCTTTGGTTTGTGAAGATTGGATGCTTTCGCGAGGCACAACTTCTCATGAACCTGTCTGACCGCGCTTGACCCTCCCTCCATGCCTTGCTCTTGTCCTCGCTGACCATCCTCAGGCGCCGTATGCGTCGGTATCGCGGCCGCTACTCCAGAGCTGTGATGCAGACATTCAGTCGAATCAAGGCACGATGATGGTTACGACCAACTTTGAGCCTCTGAGCAGTGAGGCAGATAGCGACACTCAAGAAGTGTGGCCACGTTTGTTTGCGCTGGGCACGGATGAGTTTGACGTCATCAGTTTTCTCGAATGCTTGGCCCATGTACGTTGCCAGTTCTCGTTATATCTCAACTATTCCGAGAAGCAACACCTCACACAAGGTTGCATCGCTGCTACGGCCGCCCAATCCCGTGATGCCCCAAAAAAACAGGAGGAGGTCATTGAGACAGACAACTACGTCAAACTACCAGGCTTGCACCAAAAGCTCCTCAACAATATCATCAGCCGCTATCATGAGGGCTTGGTGCCAGACCTTTTCCGGTTGGGCCGCTTTTTCCATGTCCATCCTGCTTGGGTGTCTCAATCATCATGGGCTAGGCTGATATACTCATGGCATTTCTTGGCATGTCATCTTTCTTTCAGATACTTTCACAGTGCGTGGGCCACCGCGCTATTTCACGACCGCTTCCATCGCTTTGTGCAAGATGTCACGACTGCAGCGCGAGAGAATGCGGTGCGTCTTGCCATCAATTCATGCAAACGGGAATTACAAGTCGATGTTGCCTGCTTGGCGGTTTTCCATGCCATTTGTACTCTTCTGACCGTCTTTGTGCATGCGGCCCTGCCTATCGTTTGAAAACTGCGCGTTTGTAGGCCATCAACCTGGAGGAGGTGGAGGGTCTGGCTTCGCAAATGCTGGAGCTCACGCTTCAGCGCACGGATGCCACACAAGAGGCAGATGTCGTTGCCGACTTGGAAGGCCGGGAGCGAGAGATTTACGACAAGATGATCGCCAAGGTTGACGATAAGGTTGTAAGCCAAGCCACCAAGGATCGTTTTGTCGAGTACCTTGCCTTCTACAGCTACCACCTCCCCATGTATGCACGCCCTGGGCTTGTGCAGTAGCATCAGAGGGTGAGCTGATGTTGCATTGTTGTGCCTTGAGTGGCAGCACTATCTCTTGCACGCTCTCTCTTCGTCGTTGGTCCACAACCCAATCTGCTCTGCAAGAAGTGATATGTGAATTTTACCACCATCGTCCTGACCGTGCTTTGACGGCGAAACACAACTAGCAACTACATGTAGCCAGCCATCGACCTCCAGCACATCTGCTTCACATTCAATCAACTTTGTTGCTTTTCCATGTTACCGCCGTTGATGGAATGATGTTCTTATAAGTGTGATATTTTAAACATTTCCGTTTATCGGAATCATGGCGCAACTCGGTCTCGGTCGGTAACGAACGCTTCGGCTCGCACGAGAGAACGCGAGATCTGAGGGAACGCATCTCCCGACAGATTCGGTGGAGGTGCACGAGAGAGGTTGGGCTGATGAGGGGCGGCGGGAGTGGAAGGGCGGGAAATGACGGTGCAGATTGGTTGAACATGCGATTTTGGGTTGATTGTGGGCTGAGGCTTTCTTGAAGCAGGATCAGCTTGCTTCTCGGCCAGCTCGTTTTGGGGATCATTGAGAATGCGGCCTAGGATGGCTCTGACCGAGCAGGGAACGCATTTGAACTTGGTGGCGTAGCGCAGGTGGCACACAGATTCAAAGGGCTGCAAGGGGCTCCACGGCTACCTTTTTTTGAGGAAGCGTCACACCGTCGTCTTGTTCTTTTTTTCTCATTTCCATTCTTTCCACATTCTGCTCCTCTCGCATACCATCGCCTCTTGACCAAGCAGCCCCAGCCACAAACAAGCTTTTTCCTGAGGTATGAAACGTTTGTGTGTGTGGTGGTGGTGGTGGTGGTGGTGTATCCAGTTGATTGCCTCTGCCGCCGATCGTTCCACATCCGTGACTCTCGGCTCGTGTACTCTGACTCTTGCCCTGGCTGTTATGCGCGAGCAGCTGGTTGAGGATGAGTTCGAGGATGGCGTAGCTTGCTGCTGTCGATTCAACCGCAAGGGCAACATGCTCGCCGTCGGCTTCAACGATGGTCGTGGTGAGTGTTTGAGACGCAGCCTCTGTAACAAGTGCACCTGTCGGTGATGGTGCGGGTCCACAGACAGCATGCAATGTCACCCTCACCTTTCCTCTCGATGACGTGCTTCGCTCCCTCTAGTTTTGATCTATGGCATGGACACTCGCAGTCAGGTGCAGGTTCTACATGGTCACGTCCAGACAGTGACATCGCTTAGGTAGGTCGTCCGTTTTCAAAACGCAGGGCCGTGGCTCAAAAACAGGGTGCTGGATTTGTTGGGCACCGCAGTGCTTTTTCCTCGGTGAGGAGGCAGGGTTTGCGAACCATTGATGTCGTCTATGGTCTTGTGTCCGCATGGTGATAGCTGGAGCCGATCAGGCCGCAAACTACTGTCATCGAGCCTAGATCATCGTGTCATTGCCTGGCGCGTGCAGTCATCAGAGCAGATCTTTGCGGTCGACTTGGGCGCCCCCGTCCTTTCTTCGGGATTCAACAAACGGTGCGCTCCGTCACCTTTTTTTTTTTTTTTCCATGTCTTCATTCGCTGGCTCGAAAGCCTTGCACTCACCTGACGTTCTCTGCGATGGGGCCTTTTTTGAAGCAGTCACAGCCACCAGTTTGTGGCATGCGCGCTATCAAGCTCGCCGGTCCTCGTCACGGTGGCTGGCAATGGGCAGGAAGTACGTTGATAGCCAATGCTGCAGTCATGCGAGCTTGACTAGGCCTTTGTTCTCTCTGGGCTTTATGGACCAGAACATTGGGCTGTTGTATTCATTCTTCCTTGCTGCAACTAGACGCGCGTCGAGCTGGACATAAGCGAAACCCTTGCGGAAGAGACAGTGCAGTCCAAGAAGAAAAAGCGCACAACTGAATGTGTCGCCTGCATAGCACGGAATGGCCAGCGTGTACGTTGTGCCAAATTGGCATCCGTCTCGAGCTGAGGTATCATTCATCAAGGTCTCATGGACGCTCAATCACCACTTGCAGGTTTTTGTAGGAACGCCTCAAGGCCGATTGCTCGCTTTTGACATCCAAAAGCCCGACGCACCATATGCTGAAGTCAAGGTCCGATGGTAGAAAGTATCCACTGTGCGCTGTCGCACCGTGTTTGATGCTACCACCTTATTGGTTGACCATGCCCATCCCGCCGCTGGCTGGCTGGCTGGCTGGCTGTCTTTTTTTTTTTTTTTTTTTTTTTTTTTTTTTTTTTTTTTTTTGACTGCAATACTCCAGGTTTCCAATGCGCGCGAATCAGCTGTCCAAGATATTGCGCTATCACGGGACGACCGATTTGTTGTCGTAGCTTGCGCCGACCGCGTCGTGCGCACCTATGAGTAAGGGCAGAGTGCCTTTGCTGAGTCAAACCCATGCTCTCGACTTGCGATCCAGGACAAGCAGCCTTCCTCACGTTGCATCGGTTTTTCATTTTGCTTGTCCTACCGCAACAGCACTGAAGTCCTGCAACAAGAAGCTGAGATTCAGGATCCCGTCAACCGCACCAAGTGGCGCTGTGTCTGCTTTAGTCCACAGGATGACTTTGTCGTTGGTGGTGCGTTTGACCGCACCTTCAGATGCTCGATGCGCCATTTCTTTCTTATCACTACGAACGCGCTCACTTGCGCGTGATTATTTTGCACTCTTTTTCCTTCTTATTTTTTTTATTTTTATTTTTCCCACTAGGCGCAATCATGGAGAACAATGATCACGCCATATACATCTGGGAGAAGGCCCGCGGCACACCGGTGACCACGCTCACACATGGCGCAGCAGGTCTCTTGCATCTGGATTGGCACCCACAACGGTGAGCAGACCATGTTGTGATAAACCGATCCCCCAGAGACACCCGCTGTCATATTGGCGGTCCTTCCTCATATCACATGACGTCCAGGCCAATCATCGCCTCCATTACAGCCGCTGGCAGCGTTATTGTTTGGGGTGTTCAGTACACGGTAGGCCAGCCTTACAATATCGCCGTAGCCATGCGAGCGCCAACTGGGGCACGTCCAGAGTGGTCTCATGAACCGACTCGGCATGTAACCCAATGGCCCGACCCGCTTTTAGGAGAACTGGTCCGCATATGCACCGGATTTTAAAGAGGTTGAGGATAACGTTGAATACATTGAGCGAGAGGACGAATTTGATGAGGTCGATTTGCTTCCAAGCATGGCGTCGCACCTGCCTTGCACATGTTGCTGCATTTAAATCCTAACCTCGGCCGTTGATCATTGTAGGTGGAAGCCAAAGAGGACGCGGCTATCAAGGATGCTGAGCAAAGCTTTGTCGATGTGGTTACTTTGGACGAGGATCATTTCGCGAGCAGCGACGAGGAGCCGCTGAGCGAGGACGAGTTGTTGTATATTCCCATTGTCCCCTTGGACGATGCAGAAACGGCTCGCGACCAGGAGGAAATCGGTATGAATTTTGGCGGTCTGGTCTTTGCAATCTGTGTTCTATGAATACGGGCCCTTGACACCGTGTGCACCGCTCAAATTCGGGGCGCACTACTTGTTTTTTCTTAGAACGCACGGCAATTCACAACAAGTCGCTCGAGGCCAACGAGCGTGTGGTGCGTGCAGTGCTGCTTAACTCCGTCGATTGGCGGCTGCCGCATGACTGGCAGGCGCGCATAGCTGGTTTGACCCCATTTTTCTCATGATATTCTTGTTTTGATGCGTGGAACCATATACACGCAGGGGCAAGCATATAGCGCGACGGACGCAGTCGCCAAACGTGTTACATATGTACACACTCCTGGAGCAAAGAAGCCTCGCACAGGTACCACCAAAGCAGGTTCAAGAAAGGGCGGCAGTCGTAGCAAGTCGGCCAAGCGGAGCTCGAGCTCACGCAGCGGTGGGGGCAGTAAACGCGCGTCGACTCATGCCGCACCGGCACCTTCGGGCGAAGGGACGCCTGCCCCTCTTCACTAACTGTTTTTGCTCATCCGTGTGTGTACATGTGTGTCGATTTGGGTCGGGTCTCTCGACTCATGCACACATGCAAATTGACAAACATGTAATACTCAACCCGAGCATGACACTGCCTTTGCGGCCGCAGGCGCTTGAAAATGTTTTCTGGGTGGTGACGTGACCTAGCCATGGTAAGATGTCTTTAGGCCAGCTCGGTACATTCGACACAATCGTCCTTGCAGCCAGATCCAGAGCGCACACAGCCAAAGGGGGGCAAAAACTCTGCACCACGCCTTGGGATAGGGCGAGCAATGTTCAGCTCCACACCGTAGGTCAAAGTTGTGTAGCGAAGCGGCATGTGATCGCCAAAGAAGCGCAGCAATTCGTTCAAGCATCGATGTCGCACATCCATATGGGAGCTGCGGCGCCACAAGCCGGCGGCCTTGCCCAATTTGGCGTCGACCTTGGCTCCCGCCACGCCGGAAGAGTCGACTAGAATTGGAGGGTGCCCGGTTCGAGAAGCCACGAGCAGGTTGAACAGCAGGTCATCGCAGTTCATCAACATGTCCACTCCGTCGCGAGCGGCTGCAGGCAGGTCCGTGGTGTAAGCCTGCAAATAGCGTCGATGATAAGTCTATTGATGGGCGAGAAGTGGGCAAGGGAGCAACATGGTCGTTGTTAGCGGCCAGACCGGCGTGATGGAATGTTTGGGGGTGGCAGGCGCCGAGGCATGGTTGTGCTTCACTGACAAAGCCCGAGGGTAGAACCATGGACTGAGGTCGTTCCTTGTGCTTCAAGTACATCCAGGGTCCTGTTCCGTTGGCAAAGGCCCGGCCGTGTAGCCGTGCCAAGTAGGTGAGACCGATCAGCCGATCGCGGTGGCCGTGCCACCACACCCGGGCATTCATGGTGAATACCTATCCATCAGTTTGTTGGCGCCATGAGTCAATGCAAGACATAATATCACGCGGAAGGCGGCAGGATTACAAAGGGTTAGTGTTAGGTTTGCAAAGCGGTTGTCCGACGGCAAGACAACTTGAGCGTGAAAGACGCTGCATCTGACCGGTCCGCTGGGCCCACCTGGTGTGGCATGAGCCAGTCATCATCCATGTTGATGACGCAATCCGTTTCAATGGCCAAGTCGGGGCGAAAACGATTATTGAGGCTGTTGCGAGTGGGGCGCCGCAGCACAACAGGCACGGCGTACTGCGTCCAGTTGAGTTTGGGCACAGGTTCTTGAATACAATTCCAAATGACGACGATCTTATGCAGGCAGGAAGCCGTGTGATAGAAAGCGAGGAAGCGCGGGAGCTCAGCGTGACGCTCGTAAATGGTCATGATCATGGTGCAGCGCTCCAGTAGGCCAGCATCCTGCGGCACAAACTCATGCTCCACGGGCTGATCGCGGACGTCTAGGCGTGGGATGGGGAATGACATCCCAGGTTGCAGATCCAGTGACGGCCAAGGCGTCGAGGTAAAGGCGTGCAACACGCCCAAACCTGCCTCGTGTAAATACTGGCGCACTACGTCTGGGGAAATTAGCAGACGCAAGACAGGCTGCACCGGTAGTCCGAGGTCTGCCTGGCGGAGTGCATGCCAGACTGAGAAGTGAAGAACGCGGCGCAGTGATATCGCCAGCACGGCAGCCTCTGAGGTTATCCAGCCTTGGCGCAGTTGTGGGGTGGCCATGTGTTGCCTCAATGCCTGCCCACGTGGGTCAATGACCCGTGGAGTCGAGTTGGAGCTACGTAGCAGGAGGGCAAACTCGGCGTTCAGCACTCTCGGTTGCGTGGTCCATCCAAGAGGCACAGACCAAGCCAAGTCGAGAGCGGGGCCTGTGAACTGAGTCGTTGCCCAAGGAAGGAGAAGCACATGATGCTGGTAGGCCTTAAGCAGAGCAGCATCGAGTTCGCTCAGATGGCGGAAAACGTAGCCCGGGCGTTCAATCGAGGGCAGGGCAGCGACTTGGCCAAGCTCGAGCCGCACGAGGGGGCCGCAAACAGAGACCAGGGCCCGATCAAGAACAGTCTGCAACTCGTCAAGCGATTCATACGGCTCCAGTTGGCAGGCGTTTGGGTCGTACATTCGAGAAGCTGCCGCTGCAATCCTGCTCGGCAAGTGCAATTTGCATGTTGACCCCGTGCCGGATGTTTTGGGAAAACGCTCATCAGCAAAGGACAGGTCTGGGCGAGATAGCGTCTGCCCCGCTGAGCGAAGGCGTTTAGGCAAGTCAGGATCCAGCTTTTGATGCCATGGTTGTGCCGTGGGATGGTGGTCATCCAACATCGGTTCGAGTGGCTCATTGGGCACAAGTCGCTGCAGCGTCAGCGACCAACCCAGCAGTAGAGTGCAGAGGACGATCACTGCCAGGGCCGCGCAGCGCCGAGCATGATGCATCTTCGCCCAGATCACGCTCGGCCTGGTCGACAATATGACCTGCGATATACAAATACTTGATCCTGATTGCTCCAGTCAAGTCACCACTTTCGGGCCTCACTTTCACATGACGCAGCTTCACTCGTATCATGCGCCCGGGGCAACCAGGGCAGCCTCGTCAGGCGAGCGAGCAAGCAAGCAAGTAGCTTTGGTGCAAGGTGTCATCGACTTCAATGCTGACAATTGCAGTTTATTTACACTTTTATTCCCTATCATTGTCGCCAACGGTCATACCACATGGAATACACCGGCTCTCGTCCGATCGCCGCAGTTAAGCCATGTTGGGCCATGCTAGTACTATCGTGGGTGACCAGATGGGAATACATGGTGCTGTTGGCCATTCTTATCTTTTTATCTCCTTCATTTTTCTTCTCTCTCTGTTTATTCTTTTGGCGGTTGCCTGGTTCGGTCCGGGTTTTGGTTTCAGCTCGTTGCTTGGTTTTTACACGTGCCCCTCTCGTTACTGTGCCTGTCTCCGATCCATGCCGGTGAGCTGCGACTCATCAAGCTGATGGCGTTGGGTGATTTTTGCTGGAGAACAGAATACTTAGGGACGGTTGTAATAGGAGCCATGTGCCGAGAGTGCTTGCGTGAAGTAAATCCGGACCGTGTGAGTTTCGAGGTCTGACAGGGCCATGCACTGATGTTGTGCATCGATTCACCACCGTATTCCCCCCTCCCGCGCCCCGCGCCCCGTGCTTGTGGCGATGATCACTCTAGGGGTCCATGTGCCTCGACTCGGGCTCGTTTTGGGCCAATTACAAGGGCTGTGCTGCTTGTCAGGCTGCGACCATCAACATCTCTGAGCGCGTTGTGGAGGTTGACGGCGATGAAGAGGTGACCACGTACCAGCGTGAGTTGAGTGAATTGTGCCGCCTTGCACACACGAGTCGAAAAGAAGCACGGTGTATGCCATGCTCACCACCTTGCCATGTCGTACCGTGCTGGCGCCTCTTTTTATGTTCAGACATCTGCGAGGCATGCGGGCACGTTGTGGCTCAACACGAGCATCTTTTTGAAGTCACAGAGGATGGTCAAGTCCAGGTGGGTTGATGTCATTATCACTCCGCGATCAAGCATGCGACTGGGGGCATGGCCGGCGGCCGTTGCAGGTGCCAGCCGAGTTTTAATCCTGTTTTGAACCGTCATTAGCATTATAGTATGAACTGCTTCCTGTGCGGGCACGCAGAGGACGAGCGCAACGTGCTCCCCACGGGAAAGAGTAACCTAGCCCTGTTTTGATGTGTTTGACCAATACCGGCTGTGCCGGTCGTGCCATGGTGTGGGCTTGCTTTTTCTGTGCCTTTGAATGAGCGCACGCTCGCCATTTTTTTCCTGGCTGTCTTCTGCTTGCATGTTGTCGTTGTTTGCTTTTGCTTGGGCTGAATATCTACATGTGCGTGCTGTCAGTTTGATAGTCTAGCACTTAATTAAACCTTAGACTATTGTGCCTTGTGGGACAGAGGCCGTGGCTGCCATCCCAGTGATTCTGCAGAAATTAAAAAAAAAAAAAAAACACCAAAAACACAGCTGACATGCGGAACAAGAACACGGGGCCTGCGCGATGACCAGCTATGAAAGGCTGCAGGCGCCCTTTGCTCGACCGATGTCACTCGGAATAGGCGAATATGTGCTCGGCACACACAGTGTGGGGGCATTAGGCATTAGGCAGAGGTGTCGCTGGGCTCCGGTACTCGTGTGAAGACACGGATGGCATGCATTTGACTAATCTCCTCACGCAACACGCCGGTGACAAGACGGTTTTGTTTCAGTCGTGACAAGCCCCGAAATGCCTCAGACTCGACCACCACCATGTATTGAGCTCCGCAGCCACCTGACAAAAGGCATGCGGGGTGAGTGAGTGACAAGCGACTGCCATAAGCATGTGTCCTCGCATGTATAGGTGTCGTGGGTTGGAGAAAGAAAGCTGGAGGCACACACACGTCTGATGCATATCTGGGGCGCCAGGGCAGAGCCCACTCAAACCCACCCGAGTCATCCTGCACCGTAACTTGGTCTGTGTTGAAGGCTTCTCGAAGCTTGGCTGCCATGTCCTCCTCGGCCTGCGACGAGTGCCAGGCTCCACTGGCATGCAGGTTCTGCACCAAGCGACCAACGAGACGACATGGCCAGTCTGGTAAGTCAGTCACAAGACGGCGTACAAGTCATCTCCAAGGCTACTTCCCACCCACATTCTCGCCAAGGTACAAGCTCCCCACAGGCAAGTAAACCGCCGACTTACCCTCGCGCCGAGTCGAGTGGCCCGGGCGCTCTGAGCCAAGGGTCCAACCAGTCGTCGCAACATGATTCAAGTGCCGCCGGTCGTCACAAACTGCGCACTCGCACACACACACACACACACACACATGGTAAAATTGACATGCCTTCCCATTTTTAAAGACAATTGTCATCCTTTTCTAATTCAATCTGACAAGAGCGACAAAGCAAGCACGCAAGCACACTCACCACTCTCTGTCAACCGGACGAGAAGTTGCCTTGAATGACGCGAGGCGGACATGGCTCGAGGATGATGGTCTGGTGACAAGCACCAGGACTGGCGGCGGTTCGTGTAGGTTGACACAGGACTCACAAGGGAAGGGAATGAAAGCCAGAAGGGCATCGCGGAGGCACGCACCGGCACCACGAGCTTGGGTTTAATCAACATGAGCGCGGTCAAAGCGATGGATGAGTCGATCCATCAGTCCTAACCCACAGCACGAGCTGCCAGCGAGAATTCATTCCCAACGTTTCGCACCATATTTTGCTGCAGTTGGCTTGTCCGCCACAGGAGCATGGCATGGGATGACACTGTCGTATGATGGATGCACCGCTGTCCCCAACCAACCATCGAATGTCGAGAGCCTCAGAATTACTCATCCGCGCTTCAAATGATTGGGCCCAAGTTTGTGTTGATGATCCGACTTCCTTCTCCTTCTACCCATTTCTCATTTCGCTTGGCACAAATTTGTCTCATCACCAGCTGGCTTGGCTAATGGGCTGATAGCACCCAGCACCACAAAACAGTCCCTTCCCACCACCACCGCCCTTTACATTGGTATTCCAAGTCAAAGACGTTTCAAAGCTTTTTTCTGGCCCGTGAGAGACAGTCAAGGTGTCGCTGAGCCGCACTCGCGGCCGTCCACCTCGATGGCCCTCAGGCGTCGCCGGGTGGTAACGCCGAAAATGCTGCTCCTCGCATGTGTGGCACTTGTGCAATTCAGCGCCATCGCCCTTGCAGGCCACGATGAGGTGTGCTTGTCATTGCCCCGTTTCACCGGGCACGACCAGAGCCATGACCACGATGAACGGCGCCGAAACGGCTACTCACGCCTGTGCCCTCTATTTTTGCCATGATAAAATAATGATAGCTTTTCTTGCGCTTCAATCCCGACAGCACACCACCCAAGGACACAAGCGTCTACGAGCACGTTCTCACTGATTTGAGCCCAGTATGTCTTTTCCACCGCGATCAAGGTTTCAAATGGCGACGCTTATGCTTCTTGTGTCTAGGACACTCAAGCGACCTTTGTTCCCGACCACGAAGTTTTTCATCAAGCATGTATGAGAGACAAAACAGCGCCTACCTCTCGCCGTCTTGTTGTATGCGCGAGCAATTGCTCATGCCCGATGGACGCTCACCCTTGCTTCTCACTGACAACGCTCGCGTGCAATCTAGACCATGCCGTCTTTGAGTTCAAGCGATTATCCTATACAGACGGCTCCTTGATCGTCAAGGCGCAGCGTGATTATGATACGCAAAACATCAACTTTATTGATGGCGGCGATATGGGCCTCTTCGTATTTGATGGATATGTCAGTTGTGTACTGCGGTTGTCATTGGCACGGGGACCTGCCACTGCCGGTGAATATTTAGCTCGGCGCCTTTGGTGTAGCTCCTCATCTGACCATGTTCTCGTAGTTGTGTGCGGCCTTTTCCGAGTTTCCAGATGAAAACGTGCGCTTTGGCTGCTTGCCGGATCAGGTGCCACTGGGCGTGCGCTATCGAGTATGTCACAATCCCTGCTCCCAAGCCAATCTTGCGCGTCTCGGTCCTGTGAAAGCTGCCCTCACTATGTTTTGATAATTCCATTTGAAAGGGTTTCTTGGATGTAGATGACACCAGCTTATGCTACGGATACGGACCCCACTCAACTTGCATGAGCATCGTGGCTGCAGGTACCTCAAGCTCATCACAAGATCCATCCGTGAATGCTCAGTCTTGCGATACAGACTCTTTTGTTCCATCCATGGAAAGCATTCATCTAAAAGCTGTTATTTGCTCGCCAATATCACGCAGAATTCTACACAAATACTGGCCCTTGGATGATTGGTGGTCTCATCGCCCAGTCGGCTGCTGGAGGTACGAGAGTCCCCATTGGCCATGGCACGTTGAGCTAGACTTGACTTGACTTTCCTACCATTCACGCCCCTGTAAATTAGATTCACCGGCGATCAGTGCCGATCAGGTATATTCCACGTCATGGAATTTTGACGGAGAGTTTTACACAGTGGCATTCTTTGCTGGCACGATATCGCAGAGTGTCCGCGAGTCAATGTTGACGACGTGTGCACAAGACTCGGAGTGCGACGCCACTGGCGTCTGCGCAGACTCGTATTGTGCATGCGACGGTGCCTATACAACACCGACTTGTTCATCACGGGAATGCACCAGTACTATCCAATGTCCGAGCAACTACGCGTGCATCAATTCTGCCTGCATGCGGCAAGACCCATGTGAAGACGGCAGCGACTTTCGCTGCACCAGTGATGAGACATGCATCAGCGGCCGCGAGTTTGAAGCTGGCTACACCTGTGACCTGGTAATTAAACTTGGCCCCTCCGCACCGCTTCAAAAAGCATCTGTGTTTTGAATGTCGGCCCCGGAACCCGCCACCAACCCTTGAAACTACCAGCACCCACTGGCTCACTACTCTCTCTCTCTCTCTCTCTCTCTCTCTCTCTCTCTCTCTCTCTCTCTCTCTCTCTCTCTCTCTCTCTCTCTCTCTCTCTCTCTCTCTCTCTCCC